CTATGGCCCATTGTTGTTGTTGCCCGCATCAATTATTTTATTGTCTTTTTTTATTATTCGCTTTCTCCTCCACACACACACACACACCCAAACACACATCTCTTCGATGTGTGTTATCGTTTTGTATTAATTTGTTTGGTTGAAGCCACTCATGCACAGAATTTTTACCATTCATTACAGGAATGGAAGGACTGGACGGGCCGTTATGCATTGAGAAAGCGAGCGGTGTGTCACACACTCGGCCCCATGCACACAGACACACACTCACACACACGCTAAATGTTACGCATACGTGCATTACGATTACATATGACATCCGTAGGATTGGTGCTAGTCGCTGCTCGCTCACTCGTCCACATGCACGTTTTTTGGATGTTGGCACGTCTGATATTGTGAACCTGCATAAGAATGAATGGGTTGTGAGAGTAGCAAACCAACGATCCAACCATTTGTCAAAAAAAAAGTGTCCAGCACAACGACGACGACTACGACGATGATGGAACAAAAAAAAGTAGGCACCATTCAGAACAACCAATTTTATGTTCCAACTCATGCGAAATCCAAACCAATTGTGTCTCATTGCATTTGGAAAAAGTGGCGAGCGCAAAGCGGAAGTGTTTGCACTAGCGATAATAAAAATGTGTATTGTAAATGCGCTAATTGATATGCAAAACAGTGCTCTTCCGAAATTCTATTGCTCGACGTCTCTCTCCCCCTCTCTTGTTCGCAATGCACCGTGCAAATCTCGACATTTCTGACCAAACAACACAATATTGAAATCTTTTTTGATGCATTGAAAATCAAAACATCAAATTGGAATATTGAACGAAGGCGCCGTCGATCGATTCGTGTCTCCAATAAATTTGCGCACGATGACTAAGCAATTCCATTACTGTGGTAGCCACAGCCCGAGCAGCTAGTAGTCTCCACGGCAATGAAACGAACAAGTGCAATGTAAATGCCACAAGAATAAATAGCTGCGGATCTATGCTTTGAATTTAATGTCATGCACCACGAAAATGTCATCTCGGCCATATCGCGTGCGTTCACCACACCACATCGTTACATATAGGTTGTGATTGTCGCCGAAAAAGTAATATTTGCAACGGCACACATGACATTATCTATGCATTTTCGCGCGCGGCAATTGTAAGAAAAGCGAGCACAGTATAATGGTCATGGTGGTCACAGCACTGAAATGAATGGTGACTTGAATGTTTTAATAGCGAAGCGAGGTGTTTTTTTTCTTCAAGTTTCAAACTAATGCATTCTGCATGCATGCATTTCGAAAGATAAAAGAATGAAATTTCCGCAAGCATATGATCGATTCTATGTAGCGTAACGGAATACCCAATTAGTGACATTTGTAAAAATGGCCATCGGATACAAATTTTGCATACAGTCGAATTGTGTGTGTAATGTGTATGCTCGCCCGATTGCTCAGCCGGCAAAATAAAAATGCGACGAAAACAATAATGGCCACTTTTTTGCATAATATATCCCATTCAGCGTTTGTCTGGCTTTTGCTCATATTTTATCCAAATCTTTTCAACTCTCCTCAGCCACCGTTTTCGCCTTGAAAAGTAAACTCACGCGCGAAACGAGCGACGGAAAAACAAACAGAACAGAACAGAGGAGAGGGAAAAAGAGAGAGAGAGAAAAAATGGACGGTGAACCGGCCAAACCATTAAATGCACAATGATTTACCAATTAAACGGAATGCAATGAAATCAAATGAATGATCGAAATGTTTAATCAATTATTTCAATGTGAAATGAATTATGTACATTTTCTGTCCGGATGAAAAATTAAAACTATGCCAACACGTAATTGCCAGAGCTCATTTTGCATCTTTGTCGCCGCAGAATGTGTGGCCTCCAAATAGCCAAATAGAGTGAGTGAGTGAGAGAGAGAGAGAGAGAGTAAAGAAGCAAAGGAAAAAAATTGAAAGTAAAAATTGTTCGAAAATCATGCAAAAACGGTATCCATTTATTTAATTAATTCAATCGGATTTGGTGTGATTTTTTTGTCGTTATCTCTTTCTCTCTCTCTCTCTCTCTCATTTCGGCCGCTTTCATGTTCAGCATATCTTTGCCGCCCTTTTGCTCTCTCCCTCATCACACACCAATTCATTGTTTTCACTCACTATTTTTCATTCGGCCAACATTACACACCGATTCAATTGACGCATTCGCTTTTGTAAAAAATGTCTCTCTCACTCTCCCTGTCGTCGATATCGTCGTCATCGTCGCCGCTGTTTCATCATACATTGGATTTTGCACGCAGGCATTTGTTTGCACGACCAAATGAAATTCCATTAATTTTCTATAGAAACACTGGGTGTGTGTGTATGTTTTTTTTACATCATTTTAAATTCATTACATATTTACTTTCAGCTTTTGTGCTTTTTATTCAGTTGCACGCATATAAATTTATTTATTTTTTCTGCTGTCACCATTATCCAGAGCAATGCTTGCGCCAAAGGCGCTTCCCTTCACTTCTATTGCCGATCAATTCAATGTTGTCGATAAATTAAATGTCATTAATTTTATCGTCGCCTTCGTTACGTATTCGAACATTGTAAATACTGATCCAGCGAGAGGAGAGAGAAACGGAGAAAAAAAAAAACAAAACACCCGAACGTAAAGCGATTTTTGTGTCCACAAAACATAATGTAATCTGCCATCACTTGCTTTTTGTGCTGACTCTTTTCCATTGTGTCGCGTTATGTCGTTGTTTTCGGTTGATTTCTGTTTATATAGGACTCTAATGAGTTGTGTGTGTATGTGTCAAACAAACGGAGAACGAATCGGTGTTTGGTGCTTCTGTTGCGTTTTCACTGATATATCACACTCAGCACAACCACTTTGATCACATTAAAATCTATTTCGGCCTAAATACACACATCATCAAATCCAAAACTCATCATTCATTTCATTCCTTCCAGGAGATAAGCATTCACTTTGGTTTTTCTTCTTTCTTCGATTTCGGTTGTCGACATCTTTAATAAAATACAACGAAAAATAACAACACAACCTTCGAATCCCTGGCATAAGCATCAAGCATATATCTTTATCCCATGGACTGACTATGGAAGAGCATCAGAACAGAAAAAGTTTATGCTGTTGAACTGCACAAACAAATTGATTTCTTGAATTTGCCCAAGCTGAACACATGATGAACGTGCGGCTCGGTGCAGGACGCATTGCTCTGTGAAGTGAAAAGAAACGGAAAAAAAGCTCCTCGCGCGATGCTGATCTGGTGAGAAGTGAAAAATTCGGGTGAAAACCGTTCTGCGTGCGCGTAAGCAAGACCGAATGGAGAGAGTGAAAGAAAAAACGGAAGATACAACTAGAAATACGACTAAGTCCATCCATGTGTAAGCCCTTTTATCATTTTCGAATCGTACACATTATTTCGTTTTCACAGCATCGCCCAAAATGTGCGATTACCAGGACCTTTTCTGTCGTTTTTTCTCTTGCTCGCTCACTCACTCGCTCGTTTGCTCGCTGAACAGAGGATGAGATGTGACTGTGCGTATCTTGTGTCGCGAGCGAGCTAGCGAATGAGCGAGAGATGGCTGAATGTGAGCAAGCAACACGATGACAGCTCAGCGCCCAATGTTTTATATCATTTTTCAATTCCATTCTATTTGGCGTTAGACATTTTCAGCATGCAAACTCACCCAACCATTCATCTCTTCGTCATCGTCTTCGCAATGGTTCTACGAATTTTCTGCGTTTTTTTCTCTGCTTTCTTCACGCCAACGCCAGCCAACACAGCCGCCGCCATCGTCATCATTGTTCTTTTTGTTTCGGTTATGTGTGCGTTTTTTTCCCACTTCTCTGCTCTCTGTTCTCGTCGTCATTTTTGCTAAGTTTACATGTGTTTCTTTCAGTGAAACTGCCGTTTAATGTTAGCACATTTCTTTCTGTTCTCTTCGCCGGCTTACTCACATATAGAAGACAACCGAAGGAAGAGAGATTCGCACACACTGTTTGCTCTTCCAGTTCGAGGAATCGACGGGAATCGCTGAGCGATACACACAGCCGACAAAACGGAAGTAAAATTGAAAATGAACACAAAAAAAAGTTTGCTCTGTTCGTTCTGGTAATCGATGTTGTTGTACTGCCATATATCTCTCGTTCGCTCTCAGTTTTTTTTTTCCTTTTTCTTCTTTGATTCGGAGTTGCATGTATCGCGTGATTTCATTTCTTTCCATGGTCTTACCATCATATCGACATTTATCACGCAGAGCGTCGATATTTTATTTTGTACATTCGGGTTTTGGCGTGTTGCTGTTTGGCGTTGTTGTTGTTGTTGCTGCTGCTGCTTCGCTTCGATATCCACTTTCTCAAACGGAACATCTAAATTTCATTATGAGCGCGTGATCAGGCTGATGGAATCCAACAACGACATGCATCCACACAGCAATTTCAAATCGGCGAAAACAATTCAATAAAACAATATTCCGATGGAATGGGTGAGAGAGAGAGAGAGTGAGAGAGAACGGGAGAGTGTGAGAGACATTGGGGCTGAAATGGTATGGTACAGTGCCAAACAACAGATTGTTCGGCTTATTTCAGTGTCAATCCAAGTGATGTCAATCTAATACATTTATTGAACAGCGGCGCAAAAATTCAGGCAGTCAAAGGAATAATCGCAGGCATTATTTCAAATGGAACGATATAATTGATAAAGCAGTGACGCCAGCCAAAAATCAAATTGAAACGCAAAAATGAGTCCCGGAACATTCGACTGATGTGCCGTCAATGCAACAAAGTACGACAGTCACTCAAAATTGAGAGTGTGACGGCCGTCGAAAAATGATGCATATGTTATGAGATATTCAGAATGCGCAGGAAATTCCAATGGAATCGTTTAATGACAAAAACGTTTAATAAAAAAATAGAGAAAGAAATTCTAATGGAAAAATACTTTTCAAGCACAGTTCAGATGAACGAAATTGAAAACCACACATGCAATATTCATAGAGAAAATTAAGTTGCAGCTTCTATTCTCATCTCAACGTTTATTATTCACAAAAATGGAACAAACATTAATTTTTACGTATATAACGGTGGCATTTGAATGGAGATGAGCCGTTGTTAGCAGTCGAAAATATATCGGATGATGAGTGGCACTAACATATCTAACTATTTACAAACAACATATGCAGAGGCTATGATATTTTGCCGCTCTGGCGTATCACATCTCACTGTATATTGGCTGTCACTGATAGGATGACTTCCCGCCAAAAATGTCCAGCCTCTGCCGTCCTGAGATCTGCAATCCCCACCACCAGACATCATCTTTTGGCCAGTTTGACAGCTGGCAGTGGCCACAGGCCATCGGAATGCGACAACTTCGGTTTTTATAAGTTCACCTCCTGTCTATGCATTCAAAAGCAAAATAATACGTTCTTTTTAACTATCAATTTGGAAAAAAAAAATCCGAAGAACGATGTATTTTGGTATTTCAGTACTTACAACAAAATTAGTATGTTTGGCCGTATTCATTCCTTCGAAGAATCGGATTTTTTCATCAATATTTTGATTGAGTTTATTTTGAATGATGTATTTCAATGCACCATCTAGGTGTGAGACCTCCAAAAACTGTTTGAAGCGAAAAAGAGTATTAGTGCTTTCTAAACAGAGTGATGCCCAGTGGGTTAAGGACAAACCTGTGACATTGCTTCATTTTTAACTCTTTGATGAAGATTTACGAATTCGTCCGAACGGAAGTATTCAACTCGATCAAGTGAGCTTTGCATTGAATTTGTAAAATGATTCTGGCGTTGATTGAATATTTCTAACGTACCTATCAGCGCTGATTGGAAGTTATTCAAATTTTGGTCCAATCTCCCGCGGAAACTATTTGAAATATCACCGTCTCCCATTTTACTTCTGTCGAACTGGAGACAAGACAAAGTTTTACTTATTAATACAGGGAAATTAGTTACTCAAATTGTTGGTACACAATACCTCTTCCAAAGCAACATGCTTTGCTGCATTGAACGCGTTGCTCAAATCGGGGATTTTTAAATCTGAGCTCGAATTTTCTGTATGACTTTGTACTTTCATCTTAGCCGCCTCGAAGATTTCACCAATTCTTATCTCGTTGTGGATATTGGCCTTTTGCTATGTAAAAGATTCCAAATCGAAACGATATAATTTTTTTAATTCGAATATAATAACTCAGCTGGTACAACAGCGTGTCTTATGTACCAAAATCGGCCGAATATACCGAAAAAGAAGAAGCAGTTTTCGGTTAATCATATGTTCTTTTGCGATTGAGAAAAATAGCGATTTTTTAAGGTGCTAGTCAAGGTAAACTGCTGTTTTAGTCCAGAATGAGCAAGGATTTTTGAATAAAAAGCAATAAATGGTCATCACTCATCAAATGTTGTCACAAAACCTCAAATGCAGCCAACACCATTGTGTTGCAATCCTGTCGTAATGAAACTTTCATTGGTCTTTTGGTTAAACATTAAGCGGAAGGTAAATAAAATTGCTGCGGTGCGGAAAAGTTTGGATTACGTATATAATTAATTTTATATTCTTATGAGATTCACCATTTTACAATCTAGAAAAATGTTATTTGTTTCAGAACATGATACCTGAGATAAAATCTTCGAATAGAAAGAATTTGTTGTTTGAAGTTGAACCGATGATACATGTAATGTATCAAAAATTGTATATCTGATGTGCGTTTTTGTCCCAAAAGTCCGTCACATACATCATATGTATCTTACTGAAGTCGATACATATGAAAAACTATTTGCGGTATAATTTTTGAACTTTCAGTGTATTAAATGTACAAAATTTGGTATATTCGACCTGAAATATACCGGTATATCACTTACTTCGAAAAGTGACATTGAAGTTTATTTGATAAACCGGTAAATACGAACTGAACCCGTGAGCATAAAAACGACTTATTAAACAATCGCCGAACAAAACGATACAAGAAAAAACTACCGAACAAAACGTACCACAGCGGTAATGTGTAGCACAGCGGAGTTTCATTTTGAACGGTACAGTCCTGCTGTGTTACGTTTTTAACGTGTGTTTTGTTTGGTAGTTTTTTCTTGTATCGTTTTGTTCGGCGATTGTTTAATAAGTCGTTTTTATGCTCACGCGTTCAACTGGCGTGTGCCTGTGAGAATTTCGATAAAATTGAACCACACGCCACAAAAATTGCGTCCGACTTACAATAAATTCTGAGCGTTTCCTCTCATTCTCTGCCTTAAACGAACCGAACTTTTCCTCTGTGCTGCTTTCGATTTTATTTTGAAAAGTCGATGCCAGATCATCACCGCCGAGTTTTGGTTTGGCCAAAAACTATTTTAAAAGGAAAAACAAATGCAAATAAAATTTGTATAAGGCTGTTAGATGAAATGTTGCCTTTTACAAATCAATATATGACAAACCTTCGCTAAGGATTCTCTTTTGATATTATTGTGAAGTTCCAAAAGTGCTGTATCGCTGAGATATGATTGTACTTCGTTTATGGATCTTTGCATTGTATTGATGTAATGGTTTAAATAGTCTGTATAGAGAATTTGATAGCTTACTTCAGCTGTGGCCTATTGAAAATCAATAAAAAGTATTCATCACTTCAATATTGTACAGTAATTGCGGTATAAGATATTGAAAAAAACATACCCTGAGAACCGTTTTCGCTTCCGGTAGTGTGTCTCCATTGAAAATGTTCATATAAGATTCCAAGTACTGAATCAAATCGCGGGCTCGAACTTTCTCCCCATTGATCCTTTTGACGATGAGATTTTCTGGGGCGAAAAGTGCTGGCACCAAGTCTTTCGCGTACTTTATGAAATCTGATGAAATTTGTCGCAAATCACCGGTGAAATTGCTTCCATGCGCAACGATGAAACCTGGATGAGGCATTAAAAATGCCTGAATTTGCTCGAAACTAACCTTGACGCGTGTTCTCAGCATACGCATCTCCGGTGTTTGATCCTCATTTTCAGATAGAAAATCGTCGATCACTTTGTGACCGTCCCAACCGTAGGGTGTTTCGAATGCGTATGGCCAATCTCGCACAATGAACAATAATTTTTGAAATGGTTTCTCATCGGTGTGCTGAAGAGCCAGTCGTCCATATTCAGTGAACAGTTCCAAGTGTTGTAAATCGTCCTCTTTTACATTTTGCATGAGGTTGTAGCACTGCACTGACGACAGCATCATAGTCAAAGCAAAAATGGTCGTATAATCACGTACACTACTTTTACTGTCAAAGATTCCTTGTGTGTCAACCAAAATGATTGCCACCTTTTCACCGTTGGCAAAATCATGAGTGAATACTTCGGACCATGTCCAAATGCCAATCGTTTCTCTTTTTTGACCAGCACGAAACTTGAACCCATTCACTTGGCTATTGGTTTCATGCTCTCCTAGCCAATCCGACACATTGTGACTCTTATACTATTTAATGGAAAAATTACGCTTTATTTTATGTGAATAAACACTTTTCATCGAATGAACAATTTACCTGAGCTTGTAAGTATTTGACGAAAAAATTCAACAGGAAGCTTTTCCCTTGTCGGAATGCACCGGCGATGGAAACAACAACAACATGCCGATCTTTGATATTATCGTTTTCTAAAATTGGTTTCAATTCATTCAGTTCCAAAAGGAAGGTATGATTAACTGGGGTTATTATTCGAACGGCTTTTGGCGAGTCGAGCTCGTCAGCCGACACTTTGTAGAACAAAATACCGAGAATGAACGGCATACAAATTGACCAAGAAACTATCCTCATCGTGAATGTTTATAGACTGAATGTAAATTCATCGCTTCTGATTACTTATAGTCAATGTGTTCTTTTATCGCAAAACCAGTGTGATTCAGCAAATCCATCATTTCATTAAAACAAGATTATTTCAAATCGGTGATAGGATTGGGGAAATTTGGATTGGATTCTGCGATAAGACAAAGGGGACTTTTCGGTATTGCTTTTTTGAAAATTCATTTTTATATTGGAACTGGTTTCTTGTTTATCAAATGTGATGTTTTGCGATTTGATGTTTGCTGTTCATTGACACAAGTTCCAGTCTAATGCTGTCAGACAAATCAATCAACTTTGAGGAGTGATTGCTGATTAATTTGATTTCGTTTCATGGAAATCTTTACTTTCAATGATTATTATAAAAATTCATAATCGGTTAAATGTTTTCGAAACATTTTTTCAATGTTTAATCCAATCTCATTTTTAGTCACTCTGTACAACCTTGACTGTCGAAATGTGAAAATATAACAATGTGATAAAAATCGACCCAAAAAGGCGTATTAATATTACTTATACAAATGAAAGACATGTACTTCAACCCTCTAATGCATTAATTTTTCCCAGGGCTGGGAGTACTGGTACTTGGTTGATTTTCGGCCATAGATAATTAAAAAAATATTCATAATCCTGGATTCCTCATGGTTTAGTCAGAAAATGCGATTGACATAAATCAGAGAACAATCAAATCCATTGTTTAAAAGTGTCAAAAATGTGTCTAATTTGGAGTTCGAATAATTTATTTTGTCAAATTTTTGTTTTTGCACACATTTTTGTTTATAACTTTACAATCACACTACATAGACAAAAATTGCCAAAGACAAAAATAAAGAGAAAACATTCAAATGTTGCCCGTCTAGAGGCGGTTGTATGCATTAGAGGGTTGAATATGTGATCAAGAGAGTTTCCCGCAATCAGTTTTTTTATTTGAAGAGATTTGACATGTCGTTTGATAAGGAATCAAATGCGTGCCCCAAATGTGAAAAACAGAATTTATTGATATGTCTTCATTCTTCCAGTGTTGATAAAGGTCGTCTGATTAAATGTTGCACATATGACTCAAATCTCATTTAAATGAGATCTCACAAATTCTGCTTGCTTCATGAGACAAGAGGTCAAATTGAGGTGATTTGAATGAATCATATGAATGTTTTGCTAATTAAAACTGTTCTAAAGTTGGTGTTCAATCGAATGCTTATCGCCATTAACCATTGACATCATTTAATCACATTTGATTCACCATTCACATTCGTAAGGGATTCTCCTCTTTCACGTAATCTATTTGGATGAATCATTCCATACTCTGAACCAGCACATAGACTATTATAATCAACAATCAGTGACCAAACATCAATTATATATAGAAAAAAGCTTTTAGAAAGAAGCAAGTATTTAGCAAATAGAGACTTGATGTTTTTTTCTTTCAATTAAACACATGCATTTATTTCTTTTCGCGAAGGACACGTAAAATTTATGCATATTTCATAGATGACATCTGAACAAAGATGAGCCTTGGACAGGCTTTTGATAACGGTTAAAAGATGCAATGATTGGTGCTAATAAGTAGAATTATTCGCAAACAACATAGGCCTCAGCAATGACATTTTGCGCCTCAGGCATGTCACAGCTCACTTTATATTGGTTCTCACTGATAGGACGACTTTCGTATAGAAAAACCCAGCCTTTGTTTTCCATTGATTTACAAAATGCATCACCAGCCAGCATTTTCTTACCGGCAGGACAGCTGACCGTGGTAGTTGGCCAGCGCCACGCGGAAGCTTCAGTTTTTACAAGATCGTACATGACTTTCTATATATTAAAAAGTGCATTGTATACATATGATATAATTAAGTTTATTTATTCTATTACCTCAGACACGAGTACCAAATAGAAAAGCGAAAGAACTAAAAAAAATTTCATTTTGATACGACTATGAGACGCTCTAGAAATAACGATTGAAATCAAGTCTTAAAATATGAATGACTGAATGAATTGAATTGATATGCTTTTATAGGATTCATCACCAAGTTTGGAGCAGAAGAAATTATTTTGATAATGAATGATTTATGCCAAAGAGCGGGAACTTTTGCATATGCTCTATGTTTTGATTTCTTTGAATGAGATTATTTAAATCAAATCATTCTGCACAAAAAATCCCAGCATATAATAAGGACGTCATATATGACGCACAATCTTGGTTAAACAAAATAAACAAAAAGAAATGCTCTAATTACCAAATAAATCTGAACTCGGTTGTTTGGTTGAAAAATGTTACAGACATTCGTAACATGAAAACTCAATGTTTACTACTAAAACAATTGTATTTTATTGAAAAAAAGACAAGTCAAACTCATGAATATATTTGGTAAGTAATAAATTATTCGCAAACAACATATGCCTCGGCAATGATATTTTGCTGTTCAGGTGTATCACATCTAACTGTATATTGGTTTATACTGATTGGACGACTTTCTGCTAAAAACGTCCAGCCTCTGCCGTCCTGAGATCTGCAATTTCCACCGCCAGCCAGCATTCGTTTACCAGGAGGACAGCTTGCAGTGGCACCAGGCCAGCGCCAAGCGACATTCTCAACTTTCACAAGTTCGCCCATAATTTCCTATATGTGTTCAAAGAGTGAATTGAAATTAATAATAAGTTATAATTTATGAATTGTTGACGTTAAAATTTGGGGGAAAAAACGATTGAAATAACCTCATCTTACCTTCGATACGAGTGCCAAACAAAATAGTGAAAAAACCCAAATCAATTTCATTTTGATAAGGTTGTTGGATGCTCTAAATTTAACAACTCAATTCGATGTTTAAAATATGAATGACTGAGTGGATTGAATTGATTAGCTTTTATAGGATTTATCATCGAATGTCGCGCAAAAAAGTGGATTTGATAACGAATGATTGATACTGAAGTGCGGGATTTTTTGCATTTGCTTTATGCTTTGATTTCTTTCGACAAAATTAATTAAATCAAATCATTCCCCACAACGAAAAAATCCCCAATTGTGTTGGTATGTGACCTCTACTTGAATATGCTATCCGCAAATCCACACATTATTGTCGCTAGTAACGATTCGCTACCAAATTTGCTATGTTGATTCTTTCCGATCCAATATTTGAGCGGAGTTTCCAGAAGAACTTGGTTAATGAAAATCACATACAAAGTTCCCCTTTAAATACACGTTTATTTCCATATAATTTTTGATTCTTTAACATTTTTTCTGTTTCTTTTCTAGGCATGATGACACACTACAAATCAATAATTTGATATGCTCTAAATACAAAATCTAAACTGTTGATTGTTCAAATCATAAGAAGGAAATTTGACAGATACTGGGATGTAAATGAGTAATGCTTGTTACAAAAATTATTCACAAACAATATAGACTTCGGCCATGACGTTTTGCTGATGTGGCGTATCACATCTCACTCGATATGAGTTGTCACTGGTCGGACGGCTTTCTATCACAAATATAAAACCTTGGCTTCCCAAATCTCGGCAATTGCCACCGCCAGCAAGCATTTTTTTACCGGGAGGACAGCTAACTTCGGCCACAGGCCAGCGAAATGCGATTTGATCAGCCCTCACAAGTTCACACACAACTTCCTATATATGTTCAAGAAGTGAATTAAACATTTTTGCGGAGAAAAGGAAATGGTAAAAACGAGTATGTCTTACCTGCGATACGAATGCCAAACAAAATAGTGAAAAAACCACAATCAATTTCATTTTGATACGAATTTGCGATGGACTAGATGCTATAATTGGATTCGAATTTTAAAACATAAATGACTGATTTGATCGAATCGATTCACAGACTTTTATAGGATTGATCATCAGATGTTGATAACGAAACAAATGTTTTTGATAATGAATGATTTGGTTTGCGATTAGCGGGAAATAATAAGATTAAATCGGAGATAATATAGACCTTTGCTTTATAATCAAAAAAATATTACTGCAACAAAAAGCGTTTTTTTCCTCTTTGTGGTCTTTGTTTTGAATTTTTTGGACAAGATTAGATAAATCTAATCGCTGTTAATGAAAACTCGCCTATTTTGGATGTTCCATGTACTTGATTCAATTGCTCCACTTGTAAGTGATATTCAAATACCAGCGTCACCATCGCTACATTGATACTGTTCGCTGCGACGTTCGAGGGGATTTTTTTGATCGCATTCAACGAATGTGATTTACATGCAAAGGAAAAACGGTGCGTGTTTATTGCCATATAAATTATGATTTTATAACATCTTTGTGTCTTTTCTTTCGGGATGAAGACACACCACAAATCTGTCGTTTGATGTGCTCCACAACACAAAATTGAAAATGATTCAATTTACTAGAACAACGTTTAATTTGACAAAACCGAAGAGCAAAATTCCGTTTCTTATTGCCATGATTATATTGTGTGTATGCGTATGTTGGCATTTAGAGGCAATAAATCGCACAAAATGAAGAGAAGAAGAAATATCCAGCCGAAAAAAAAAACGTCGACGTTTTTGATGAACAATAAAACCGAAATGACTGAAGCCGCATAAACAATATACGAATTAGTTCTCGCATTTATTTTTCATTTTGAACGCATCATAAATGCGACAAACAAATGTGCTATCTCATTTTCTTTGCATTTCGTTTCTATTTTTCAGTGCGAGGCACGAGGAGCAACAAGATGCGCAGAAAGAATGTTGTAGCGAACACCACATTTCATCTTTTATTCTCAAACATTAATTTGGTATTTTGATTGTGACTGGCTGGTTGGTTGTCTTGTGTGTCATGTTACTTTTTTGTTCATTCGACTGAATTTCAATTTAAGGATCCCATTTGAATGGAAGAAGAAAAAAAACCTAATTTGATTCATTCTTTCATGTGTTGTATTTTTATTACATCCGATTTTCCGTCGATAAATGAATTGGGAAGTTTTCGTTCTTTTCATGACACGCGAGCGCGCGCACACAGAAATAGACGAACAGAACAAAAATGATAAAATAATTCGATTTTAAAGAAATATTCAAAGCCATTCGTCACAACAGCGAGAAAAAAAGTGCCAGCCAAAATAATTGCACTCCAGGGTATTTTGACGGATATTTATTTGTATCGTACGCGCATACACGGCTCGAGATCTTAAATTTTTGGCTCATAAAATGTCAACTTAAAAAGCCGCTCGTTTTGTTTATATGCGAAATAAAAACGGAGGCAATGGCACTGAGCGAGAGAGAGAGAGAGAGAGAGAGAAAAAAGAATCAAAATCCGAATTTAATTGGGCGGAATGCAATGACATGGTGCTCAACAATATGAAAACGAATCCGTTTATTGATGTTTACTGATTAGTGATTATCTAATTGGTTCACGCACATGCGAACACCGATGGCAGCCGACCTCGAACGAACAATAACCATTTAATTTTAATCGGCTTATCGACGCACCGAACAAAGAACAAATGACTATTGCGCTTACGGCGTTTTGATCTTTTTTTTTCCTCTGCACTATGCGACTCTTTCGTGTATATCTTGAAATGTGCACGTTTTTTTGCAACGAGCAACGGCTCCAGATTCGATTGATATCTTTTGCGTTTTAGAATATAGAGCAAACGTGCACTCATTTTTTTTTTCATCCGAGTGTATGTTCTGATTCGATAGTGCGTGGCTAACGAAATACACTTCTTTTTTTTTGATGTCATTGTTTTCCTGACTGCTCGTCACAATCCGATTGTGTTTGAATGTGAGAATATCAAAAAATCAAATGATTATGTGGCGTTTCATATGTGCATATTATCAAACCCGAAAAATGCGCTTAAACTGTGCGACACGTGACCAGATTGACATGCATACATATTGCAACGCCAGCCAAAATAATGACACAAATCACAAACGCTGTTGTTTGACGAACCAATTCGCCTTTTTTCTCCTTCCTCTCACTCTCTTTGTCGTTCTCTATATTAATGAGAGCGTGAGCATTGAGCCATGCTCCTGCACTAACAATGTACAATGTGTGTAGTTTTTAATACCATTGTTACTTTGCTTTGTTGGAAATTCGATGATGCAACAGTGAACAGATGCTAGATATGCGCTTCATTAATCGAAATTCGAGTTCGAGAGTCAAAAAATGGAGATCAATGACTTTTGGCGTCAAAATCACAATCAGTGTTTGTCGTTTGGAGCTAGATAATGGTGCATTTGGTTTTCACCGAAAAAACCGGCTGCACAATATAACTTCCATTAACACCCATTTGCAGGCATCGCCATTCGAATGAAATGAAAACTAAAGCATCACCAGAGCGAGAACGAGTGCAGATAACGATAAATTCGATGGATTTGGTGTGTTAAAAATGTGAACGATAACCATAAAACCGACGGTGAGTAAAAATTTCGTTGAACTGGTTTAAAGGTGCTCTGGCTGTCGGTTCGGTTGTGTTTGGTGGCGCCAAATAGTCAGCATAGTTTAAACAAAGCAATAAAATAAATTCGAAGCCGAAACGAGTAACTAATCAAAATCAAACTCAGCCGCATGCACCAATAAATGCACCATTTATGAGGTGTATTTCGTAAAATCATTTGTTAGAGTTATTTACGGTAAATGTAAAGGGGTACCGACATCTTAATGTTCTTGACTCCGATTATGTGTACGTTATTTTCTTCTCTCTGTCTATTTTACATCACATTTCAGGCACTCTCGTTTTATGTTAGGTATGCATTTTTTGGTTCTCTTCGGTTGAAAGATAGACGCACAATAAACTTTGACTTGAACTGGCATAGATTACGAGCAGAGAGTTCCTAAACAAACTCATCCCAAAGGTTTTTTTTTTTGAAAAAAGAACGAATTTATTTCATTTTTTAAATAGTCGGCGATTTCTTGGGATTATTCTCTCTTTTCTTCGTTAACGTAATGGAATTGCATCAAAATTAATGCAAGTGAAGTTTAGTTGATGATTCTTGTGATTGACCAAATTTCGTAACGAAATTAACAATATTTATGTGAGAGTAAACGAGAAAGAGAGAGTGATAAAAAAAATACAATAATCTCATTCAAGAGTGTCCTCTTTCCAGTCATTCCATTCACTTTGTTCACACACTTTTTATAACGCACACCGAGCGGCTCTTCTTCTCTCTCTTTTTTTCCCGCCATACCGTCGAACATAATTTTTCATTAAAAGGGACCAAACAAGAATAACTGACGAAAACAAAAACAGTTTGATTGCCATACGCTTCCGCATAAACTTTTAATATTTTCGACGAAACATGCCATATTATGCAAATTTGCCGTTGTCATTCCCAACGTTCCGTTGTCGGTGTGTTGTGTTGTTCTTCGCCAACACCATCGCCACACAGTACACCGAACGGCATTTCAAAAGTGGTTGTTTGTCTATTGCTTCCATTTTGCATGTAACAAGATCGCCACGTCGCCTTCGAGGCGATTTACTTTCTTAGCAAACAGAGAGAAGACAAAAATTATGCGAAGCACAATGATAACGTTATGAAAGGAGAGAAAAAGGCACAAGGCCGAAATATGGTATATTTCGTGTGTATATATATATATATACACGGTGGTTGTGCACGTATATTTTTGCGCCGAGCATCGTGAAAAACATCATAATAACATAATGCTTATGAGATGAAGTATGCGGCTCAGGGAGTTTTCATTTAGTCGCAACAGATTTCGACATTTATGAAAATGTTTCCCATTATTTTATGGTAAGCATTCATAATGATTCGGCAATGTTGTAAGCCGTTGTCGTCGTCGTCGTCGTTGTTGTTGCTGCTGCTGCTGCTGCTGCTGCTGCTGCTGCTTTTGCTGGGCACACCAGCAGCACCATTGCACATACATACACAGAAATACGCACAT